GTCCCTCTATTTTATCATCTTCTTCCTCAGACCAGACAGGGTGGTTGCCTTACCGTATCAGGGTCACTTACCAGCCTGGTGTCAAGGAGCAAGTAACCAGGAACAGGAATTGAGTTCAAATCACTAAAAGTTTATTTCATGCTAGCTATACACAAGAATCTGGACTACTAACAGTCAAGCTAAATTGGCGCTAGATATGGGTCAACAGAATCCACAGAGGGATGGACTTGGGTCTCTTGTGGCTGCACAGCAATTCCAAACTTTAAACCTGCCTTTGAGCTCAGCCTGCTCATCTCTTACACTTAGCTTGGGATCTTGTCAGTTAACCTACAGTTAGCCTATATTAAGGTAGCTGGGTTTTAGGGTATCCCGTACAGTATTGCCAGAATGAGATTGCAGTTATTATAGCCATAGTTCCTGGTAGTCAGCCTTCATGGGAGGAATCCCTGAATCTCCTGCCCAATTATTCTGCCTTTAGTCCAGGAGTTACTCTGAGAGATGGAGTGTAGCAACTTTGCCAGAAGCTGCAGATTTTGCACATCTTGCCTCCTCAAGGATTGTTGATTAGCTAGAATGCCATCTTACATCCTGACATTCACTGACATTCCAGAGCAGCTGTTTTCAGATCTTAATTGTTTTGAAAGCTTTATGTATGTTTGGATTTGTTTTTCAGGTCTAAGAACTCCAGATAACCGGATTACTCCAGTAGTTCTCATTTCTGCACTCATCTACATTTCTAACAAGATTATACATTCAGCAGTTTCTATCAGAAAATTGGAATTTATGTCTTTCTTTTCATTTACAAACTTGTAAACTGTATCATGTTTGAATGGTCTTGCTATGCTTCCAAACTGAGTTTGTCACTAAAGGAAAAGAAATGGGACAGAAAGCAAAATAAAGGACCATCTTCTTACTTTTTATTCCAGAATTTTGGAGCTTATGGAGGAAATGTCATCTCACCGTGACATTTCTCTTTTCAGAATAATCACATGTTCAACATTTGGGGCCTACTGAGCAGACTCAAGTGTCACTGAGATATTTTTCCCTTTACAACCACTGCAAAATTGAGACAAGGAGGGAAATGTCATAAATGTACTCCAAAACCTCTCTGGTTTCTCCACAGTTCAGTTTGGATGCTAATCCTGTTGGTGCCAATCCTCAGAATTCACTGTGAACAGAAGTTACAGAATGTTATTTATGCTAAAATATACACAAGGAAGTAATGCAACGAAAAAGCAAAAGCAACCCAAGTTGAGAAATATTATTTTGTAAGATCTTCTACAGGAAATACATAGCAATAAAGCCAAGTATCAAATCAATTTTTTTTCTGTCAAGACCTAAGAATATGACTATGTTCTTTCTCTGTGCAGTAGAAATGAACTTGTGACCATAGCAGTTCCTTTTCACACACGTGAAAGTTCTCTTTAATATTAACTGTTCAAAAAGCATTCAAAAGTTGAGTGTTCAAGGTAATTTGCTTATGTTTGGAAATATGAACACTCAGGCAGTCCAACCTCATCTGAAAAGTATATGTAAAGGTGGCTGTTGTAAATGATGCTCACATTAAGTTTTGCCAGTAAATCTCTGATTTGTCCTGATAATGCACAATACCACCCAAGCCCCAGAGTCTTGGAAGGAAATGATAAAAAAGCCAATTTATGCAGGCTTTTAAATATACAATGCAAAGTCATAGTGCCTACAGCTGTTTTTTCCTGTTCTGTGTTTATGGCATGGCACAAAAGTTAGCCGTTGTAGAAACATAGCAGGCCTGTTCTTCCTCCCAGCTTTTTCCTGCACATTCCGACAATACCTCTCTTTGCTGCAGGCAGGAAATGGGCCAGATCCAACTTTGCAGTGAACAAGCATAGAATATACTATTTATCCAAGGACTCTTAAGTTTCTAATCCTCATTATTTTAGGGAATAGATTCATAGTCTTCTGAAAACACTTGTCAAAGAGGGAAATAAAGATAATAAAGGAACTACATGTGTCTTCATATTTCTTTATGGCCCTTCAAGCCATATTACTCAACTCTCTTTCCAGACTACCATTTCCTTTTTTATAAAAATGTCCCTTAAGTTTGAAACTCTGTAGAGCCAAGTTGCCAGATTGCAAACTGGAAAACGTATGTATTTCCTTAAAGTGCTAATGGATAAGGAAGAGGTTGCAGGGGAGCTTTCTCCGGCCCCGATTCAATCATTTACACTTCCCTCCTGAGAGCAAAACAACAAACCTTGTAGAAGGGACTGTAGATACATTAAAACTTTGATGGGGAATATGTTTTCCAACTTGAGTCACATTCATACAGAAGTCTTCACTGGGAGGTCTGAAAACCTGGAATGAGTAAGGCTGGCCCCAAAATGTATGTAGCATCCTGTTTTATTCTTGCTTCTTTCTTCCTCACAGAAGGGGGTCACATCATTCCTGCCAGAGGGCTGAGGGGCAGCAAGACCTTCCTTTCCTCTATTTTGGTATCCTTCCCTCCTTTTTTTCTTTCTGTTCTTCAGCAAAGTGGAAGGGACTCTACTTCTAAATGCCTGAACTGATTTCTTGGCCAATTAGTTTAAAACTGACCAGTGACTGCAGATTGCCTGCCCCTCTGCATTGTGACCTGTGAACTCAGCCCTTCAATTCAGTGGTTCTTAACTATGACAATTTAAGACTGAGAAATACTACCTCAATTTAAGTAAACACAGTGTTGGTTTCAATTTTAATAAAGAATAATGCAATTAGTAGCCACAGAAGGAGGAAAATGAAGAAAGCACCAATTAAAAATTCCTTGCTCTTTTAAACTATGTATGCTTCTTGACACACTTGCTAGCACATATGTTCCCTAATTGGGTAATGAAACATTTGCAATCAAACAACCAAGCTCCGAGAGCACCAAGGACTTCACAGTTCAACACCAAACTGTGTTCTCTTCTATTGGTCATTGTCATGCTATTCCAGCATTTGTTTTTATATTTCTTTTTTCCCCTGAATTTGTTCATTAGAAGTAGACTATGTCCCTTCTTTCCACATACAATATCAAGTTTTTAAGGGTTTCTTGAAAAGACAGATCCAAGCAGCAATGTAAAATGTTTCAAGGCACAACTTTGGAGGTGCTGAAGTCAGTATTTCACTGTACAACCAGTGCTGTTTTGTTATTTTTCTTCTGGGGGGGGGGCTACTGAGTCACCTCTGTTTCCGTTAACTTAAATCTAGAAGCAGGTTTTTAATAAAATTTTAAACAAAATAATTGTATTGGTATTAAAGATACCTTGACAGAATTTAAAAGAGCAAGGAGCATTCTTAATTTTCCTAATGGCCACTAACTATATTATTCTTCTTGTATTAAAATTGAAGTCAACATAGTATGTTTACTTAAATTGAGGCATTCTTAACCTTAAGTTGAGAAACACTAAATTGAGTTGTTGAGTTTGTAGCTTGTTTACTGCTTGACTGTTATCTGGTGATAATCCCTGTTTATCTGGGTGTTGATTGCTGTTGAGGCAGCTTTCTAGTCTTTTTATTTCCTTTTTAGCTTTATTCTCTCTTTTGAATGATGTGTAGTTTATCTATATATATGCCTGTAACTTATTACAAAATCAAACCAATTCTGACAGGGCAAGCTACTGTATATAAACAGAGAGCAAATCCTACTTCCTTCTAGCACTGAATATGTTATCTAGCCAGATAAGGAAACATCTACAGAAAACCAAGTCAGAGAGCACCAAGGACTTCAGAGGGGCAGCTGTAACTGATGTATCTAGCATAGCAAACCATTCAATTTAGTTTTTCTGGTTCTAAGTCAGCAATTTTCAACTTCAGCAACTTTAAGGTATATGTACTCCAACTGCCAGAATTCCCCAGCCAGCATGAGGTTAAGAAACAATGTTCTAAGTGAGATGCCTCTACAAAAGGATGGCTGTGGCAAGTGCATGCGCTAACAGGGTCCTTGGTGTTCTCTGAGCTTAGTTGTTTTCATTTCATTATCCAACTAGGTAATGTCATCACAGTTAGAAGGGAGTGGGGTTTGCTCTGTTTATATACAAGTGATTTGCCCTGTTCAGCTTTGGTGGGAGTATTCTTGGTGGCTCCTTGATTGGGCTGTTGTTTACTGTTGGCTAGCTTATTGGCTAGTGGACTATCCATACTCACTTAATAGCCAAAGACGTGTGAAAAAAATGATCAGGAACAGAAAAATAGCTGAGAGGAGTTACGTTCAATTATAGTGGGGGGAAAAATAGCCATTCTAAAGCTTACAACCATCTACAGCAGTGTTTCTCAACCTTGACAATTTTAAGGCATGTGGACTTCAACTCCCAGAATTCCACAGCCAGCATTGCTGGCTGTGGAATTCTGGGAGTTGAAGTCCACATGCCTTAAAATTGTCAAGGTTGAGAAACACTGATCTACAGTCTAAAAGCTTAAATTGCCCTTTATAAACATATGGCTTAACATAGGATTTGCTGTAAAACCCAGCTGAAACTCCAACTAACCTTATCTTTTGTTGTAAAACAGACTTTGTGCATTTTTTTAAGAAGGCAGGTTTCAAGGCAGGGAGCACCTTTTAAAAAATTAGTTTACAAACTGTTCTGACAGCTTTTCAGAGTGAAAAGGTGTGGATAATTAATAAACCAGATGGGGAAAAGACTACATCTTCAAATTTATCCTATACCTTTTTTGTACCTTTAGAGGAAGTTCCAAAAATCTCATAAAATGAGCTTTGATTAATTGTACTAAGTATACAGAGTGTACTGGTGGCATTTGCGTATTTCCTATTTGAAAATAGTGGAAAACACGCTAGCAGTTTCAGAAATACACTTCCAGGGTTATTAAATAAATCCATGGGACTGCATGAAACTTTGGGGCCTTTTCTTAGTTGTCCCTGATTTAAAGTCTTAACCTATTTCATCTCTGTTGATGCACTCAGAGCATCAGCTATGACCTGAAGGCAAGGTGGTACAACAAGCTAATTCCAGACTAGAACTCCCCAATAATTTACTGAACTTCTGCAATAAAGATTTGGAATAGCTTTATTGGATTGATGACAAGCTCACAGAACATCCTGTTCTCCAATAGGAGCCATATTTATGCATTACCCTGGCACAGACTAATATCTTTGTTATTATAGGAAATATGTAACAGTACAAGGCAGAAATAGAGTAAAATCTACTTCCATTCTGAGACTGTTTAAAATATTATGTCCATCTAATTTAGGGCAACTATCAACCAAAAGGTCAATGTTAACACGAGTCTTCATAAATTTCTTGCTTAATTACTGATATGGTTGACCTATCACTCTCTGCCATGATTAGCTAAATAAACTATTGGCTGGGTTTGAAAGCACAGTAAGCCACAGATCACCCACTCATTTACATAATATAAGGCTGGTTTCAAACAATACATTAATCTAAATCCAAACAAATCACACTATCCTTTATAGCAATGTTTCTCAACCTTAGTAAATTTTAGATCTTTGGACTCTCAGAATTTCTCAGCATAGTGGCTACAAAATTTTGAGAACTGGACTTGACATCTTAATGTTGCTATGGTTGAAAACACTGCTCTATAGTAATGTGTGAAGGCAACCTCTGATCGTTCTCATGTTTCTATGACCAATACTAAAATATTTCTAATCATGTTCTATTGCTGAGTAATGGAAGGGGTGTAAAAAAATTCCATCTCAGATGACACAGAAACAAACTGAAGCATTTCACTTTCAATAGATCCATGGTAGTTCAGATTCTACCCATAAGCAGCTGAAGTTTGACGTATGGTTTAAAAGTCGAGGCAATAATTGAATTTATTAGATGCACCAAACAGCTGGATTTTTTTCTTTTAATTTCCTTAATATCTAAAATGCAAAGACTGTACGGTTGTGTAGAACAGGGACACTTCATAAACTTTCTACCAGTTACTTTATTTGTTAAAGAAGAAAAAATGATTTTTTCTGCTCAGCTTCCTTATAATCAATAAAGGAAGCTTAACTAATTCCTTTAATGTTACAATCTAGCAGTTTTCCCCCCCACAGATTTATCAAAATGTAAAACATCCATAGCAAAATCTAAACAAATTGGACATCTGGCCTGAAATTAAAACATTTGACTTGATTTATCATTTCTAGAGAATAAATTCAAAAATAAATGGAAAGTGGCATGAAAAAGTATTTTCTTTCATTAGTTCTTTTAAAAAAAGCACTTTTACTGCATTGATTTCACCCAATATGTTTGGAGATAAAATGCTTAGGTAAAAAAGAGGGGACAGTCTCTTCTCACAAGAGGCTTTGTGTCTGTGGACTAGTGAAGGTTTTTTTTTTTTTTAAATCAATGCAAAACTCTTCCTTATTCATATTCTCTATTCAACTCTATGCCATTCAAGCTATATTGAACAACTTTAATTTTCCTGCAGAAGGGGAATTCTATACCAAAAGAAAATGGAATAATTACAGCTATTTTTTATTATAGATCTACTAATAAAAAGGCTCCAATCAATCAGTGTTTTTCTCAATTTAATTGATGACAGCAGGAGAGGCACTAAGGCTACCGTCAAAAACTCAAATGATTTTAATCTACCACTAAACAAAGGAGGAAAGCTGCAGAAAATGAAGCAGAACAACTGCTGCCATAAGCAGCAATAATTAACCACATTGGTTTTACATTGGACAGGAACGGGAAGTGTCTCCAATATGTATGAGAAAGTACATTAAGAAGAGGCCGCTATATTAGGAAAACTTTCTTGTCATCGGGCATCTGCTAGCAGGTATCAACCTCCAGTCTTTCTCTATCACAGAGCAATCAGCCTTTCCACTGCTGTATGAACTAGGACCACTCCCCCAGAAGGAGGAAGTGGACATCATCTGCTCTCTTTAAAAAAAAAAACAGATGCTAGTCCAACTATGCAATTTCTCCCATTCCCTTCTAAGGAAATATATATATATATATATATATATATATTTAAAAAAGGACAAATGGAAAAAGCCTTGGCTCAAGGAACACAACTGTCCTTGCTGTTCAGGGTCCAATGAGTTTTTTGAGAAAAGCTTCCAATTGATCTTCATCTTTGATTCCCACAAACTTATCCACCACATCACCATTCTTCATGGCTAAGACAGTGGGTACAGCTGACACCTAAGAACAAGAGCACAAAAGAAAAGGCATAAGCACAATAATAGCTAAGCTCCACTGACCTGTGAACTTCATTTCCAGAGGCAAAGCAAACATTAAAACAAAGGATATGTTGAAAGGTGAATGATTAATTCTTCCTGTTAGAAAGTTCCCTGAAAACTTAGCAGTATTGAACTTCATTTCAGAAAACATCTTTAAAGTCCAGTTTATATAAAAACTTCTATAAAGGAATAAAAATATTCTAACTCAGAGATGTTAATAAATCCATCCCAGCTTGGTCATTCTAACCAGCAGCTTTCGCCAAGTTGGTGCCCTCCAGATTTGTGGTCACCTGGCACAGGCTGTAAATTGCAGCACAACACACGTGAAGAGACTAACCTGGGGAAGATTCTTTCCTAGAGGACCAGGAAACCTGTTTTGGATTATCAAATCAATTTTAAATTAAGTTCATGCTATTTACTAAGCACAAAGAGATCTTCAAGTAAAAAAATGATGTATTTTTCAGAGTAATAGAACTAATTTTAAAAATACATAGTTTTTCCACAATTGGAATGAATAAGATTTAAAATTGCTGAGTAAAGATAGAAGGCTAAAGTTTATTTAAGTCTAAATGGGACACTATCATTCTTTGAAATGAAGCTCTTCAAAAGAGATGATGAGTTAGCCTGCTTTTGTGATATGATATGTGTAGGTGTAGAGAAACATGCTTGCCTTTTACTTCTGAATTTTACCAGAAGTCCTGGCATCCCAAGTTCAGAGTGTTACGGAGCTTATTGAATGGATAAAGGCTAAGGAAGATAATATCTGACAGTTATGATTAAATAAGCTTTTAAGCAGCTCTTTCTTCACTCCTTGGCTATTTCTGGACCAAAATTGCCATTTTTGATTCAGTAACTAATACTATTATATATAGCAATAATCCTGGAAATGTTGCTAACATACTGAGTGATTTTGCTCCACTTTTCCCTAACAATGGTTTTATCTAGTACCAAACAGAGATAATTCCCTCTATATTTGTACTATCTATTTTCATAAGATCTAATGAAAAATAATTTGATTTGGAAATGCTTTAAAAAGAAAGTTTTGAAGAAATTCTCATAGGTGCAATATGGTATTCTTTTATTGATTTAGCTAAAAAGTAGCTAAGGGACATGTGTATAATGTCCTGTCTTTCATTGTACAATCATCTCTCTGGTGATTTACAGCTATTCTGGCTTCCCACACTTCAATTCGATCCCAAAGGAAAACATCATGCCGGAACTTCCTCCCACGGCATTTTCAGAAATTGCGCTATCACCACAAAGGGGGAGACATCTCTTGAGCAATCCTCAGAGAATTTCTTTTTGCTCTGGAACAATCCAGAGAAATTATCCATCCAATTTTTTCTGCCCCTGATTTTAAAGACAATTTTGGAGAGCTGTTTATGCTTAAGCTCGTTTTAATGATGTACACAAGAGTCAGGAGAAAGAGTCAGGCAGATTGTCAGAAGCATGAAAACACTATCAACTTTAAAAACAAGAGTGTGAAATCAGACACAAACCTTCTCTGCTTCTCATAGGGAGGATCTGAGCACTGAGGCCTATCCTATCCTGTACTATTCTATGCAACCTCACAGCCTCAGCTAGTCAAAAAACAGCCACAACAGCTAGCAAAAAACATTTAGCTCCAAATATGAATTCATGCATGCATGCATGCATAGATATGTTATGTCTTTAAATTTCTGCACTTCTGCAGCACAATGCTAAATACCCATACAACACAGCCAAAAAGGAATGCTGATTTCCTCACCTTCTCTTGCAAACCCCAAATCTTATTGGTCTATAACTATCAATGTCTTATTATCAGTGAGACAAACAGTAAGAGAATTGCCCAAGGAACTCTGAACAAGCTGATGCCACAAAGTGTAATTTGGGAAAGTTTGAAAACCACAGGCTAGCCCCCCCCACGCCCCCCAAATTGTAAGCCAGCCCTTTATGCGTGCAGAGAATGATTTGAAGGAATCTATAAAAATGTCAGAAGGAGCCGATACATTCCACAACTCCTCTGGCACTCTTATCTTAGACAGTGGGTCATGTCCCATCTTTATCTTGTATGCTATTCTTCCCTGGAATGCTCTCTGTCATCAAATATGCATTCAGCTGCCTGCATCTTGCTGCCATCAGCAATCTGTCATACATAAACCCCAGACTCAAAGACCTGCTTTTACTAGTCTCTGTTTTCCTCTGCTGGCCAATGCAAGCTGATTTCTTAAAGGTGCCACACCCCATGGTAATCCAGGATGGATTTAAAAAAGAAATACAAACTCATACTGTACTCTGTTTAACAGTCAAATTAATCAGTTTTGTCTGATGTCCTTCAGTGCCCTCTAGAGTTCAACTCAAATACTTCAAACAGGCCTTTGAAATGCATCCCAGTACACCCCTCCCTTCTGGCAAGAGCTTAAGTATTCTAACAATGTTCATTTTTATCTCTGTCTTTTCGGGGCCAAATAAAATAGAAAAGGTTAAGGCAAGGACTCAGCATTCCTTTTGCCAAATTCCTATTTCATTTCCATAGGGAGGGTCGGGCTTTACAAAAAAAAAAAAAATGCCCCAAGTCACACAGGAAAATGGTTGGCTTGGTTTTGACTATGGGCAGTGGAATGGAGGAACCATTCTTCCGAGCTGCAGCTTAAAACTATTCAGTTTTTGGGTACAGATCAGTACAGATCAGTCAGATGCTGTCCTCCAGTCGCTTTGTATCCAACCAAGACCCTCTCAGAGTCTGTAGTTAAAGTGCTGTCTTATAAAATAAGTTGAAGTAGAAGGGAATGGTCAAAAGCAGGGATACAGCAATGGCAAAGCTAACAGTATATATTCACAATAGAATTTAAGCAATAGTAGTAGTTAAGGTGCCACTTTAGGATTGAAACTAGCTGGGTGACTTTAGGCCAATCATTCACTCTTAGCCCAACCCACTTATGTATGTTCGCCACTTTGAGTTACTTATAAAATAAAGGTGGGATAAATATCTAAAAAATAAAACAAAATGAATAAACATTATGCAGCACAGTTTGTCCCCTAAAGGACACTAAATGTTTATAAACACCACTAATTAGATGCCCAAAAGGAGGAAGTCAGAAACCAAGTAGCCTTTTGTTTCTTTTCTTTTTAAACTTGTTCTTGTCTTTTTGTTGCTGTTTAACTCGTTTTACTATTTTTTAACATGCACAAACAATAAGTAACAATACAGTGGAGACCTTAGCATTAAGCGTTCAGCTTAAGACAGAAGAATTTTGATGTAACTTGCAGGGGTTTATTAATGTTCTACTTAGCTTTGGATATAAAATTTAAAGAACCTTATGCTTGTTAAAATAATTTCAAATAATAGTTAACACTGATATGAATCTTTTTTCCTCTATCCTTAAAAGTCATTATCATTAGAATATTAATAATCTCTAGTCAATACTTAACAATATTATAAAACATATTTTTAACTCTAAAAAACAAACAGGGATGACAACAGAAGAGAATCCATTCTTTATCAAATGGCAAATACTCCTTAGTCCAGCCTTCCCTAGTCGAGTCCTAGACACTCGCTTAAAGTCACCAGGATTTCTTAGCTAGAAATATCTTTTTGGCATTAAGAGAGCCATAGCAAGAACTTTGTGAGGCTGGCTGTGCTGAAAATGGAACATCCAAAACCACCAAAGGAGATGTGAGGTGGCAATTCAAATCTGGTTCTCACCAATCTGAGTTCAACATTTTAACTTGTGTATCACCCTGACCTTTTTTTTAACAATGCAAGAAATGTCATCTGCATGAAAAAATGGTGGCAATTGGGAACATCTCTCCCAAAGCTATTTCAACTACAATTTCCAAAATCTCTACCATGTATCAGCTGGCTGTGGTTTATGAGTGTTGTAGTTCATCTAAAGCAGGGGTGTCAAACGGGAAAAAAGTTCCGATAAGTCGCGCGACGCCACGTGATGTCACAAGTTTGACATCTCTGATCTAAAGGATGCTAATATATTTCCTTTTAATATGCTTAGAGTTCCTATGCAGGCTAATGGGCTTCCCCCCCCATAAAAAATCTAAAAACATGTTTCCCACTCAGTACTGTAAACCACAAGGGCTATGGTTGCTTAGTTCATACCAGCTGCGGATCATGTAGCTGACATTCATGTTGTGACATGACACACTTATTGTTGCTCTGTTACTGTTGCTCCTAAGAAACTGGACAGAATTCTAGAGAATATGAGTACAAGCACTGGTGTTTTAGATTCATGTCCCTCCTGGCTTGTGAAAGTTTCCCAGGAGGTGATATGTAGGTGGGTTCTAGTGATGATTAATGCTTCTCTGTGGGACGGGGTGGTGCCCCAGCCTTTTAAGGAGGCTGTGGTCTGCCCTCTTCTTAAGACTCCATTATATTGGATAATTTTCATCCTGTCTCCAATCTTCCCTTTCTGGAGGTTGTTCAGAAGGTGGTTGCATAGAAGTTCCAGAGGTTCCTGGGTGAAATAGATTATCTGAAACCTTTACAGTCAGGGTTCAGGTCTAGATATGGAATGGAAATGGCACTGATTATGCTTTTTGATGATTTATGGTGGGAGCGTGATGGGGGTAGTTTGTCCATCTTTGCTAAGCTGCTGGGCAAGATCATTTGCTTCCATGGGCTGAGATATCATCAATATACTGATGACACTCAGCTCTATGACTCAACCCATGGAGAGGTAGATGACAATCCCTGGAAAGCATCCAGACTTCAGTTGGTTCAAAATGAGATGGTCTGCATGGTTTTGCACAAGCCTAGATTTGTACAAATGTACCTCTCTTGTGGAGCCGCTTTGGCTGCCAATTTGTTTCTGCATCCAGTTCAAGGTGCTGGTTGGCACCTTCAAAGCCCAAGTTATTTGAAAAACTGTTTTTTCCCAGTCATAACTGACCCACAAGAGTAGGGAGGCAGGGAATGCTACGGATCCCATCTCCTAAGGAGGTCCATTTAACGGGACCAAGAAAAAGGGTCTGCTCCCTCCTTTCCTGTCCATGCAGAGATAAGATTGACTCCCACTTTGACACTGTTTTGCAACACCCTGAAGACATGGTTCTGCCAATGGGCCTGGAGACCCCAGAGTGATATGGAGCCCACCAAGAGGCCTGATTGTTGTTGCCGGGGGTGGGGTGAGGGATTATTGTGTTTAGTATTGATATTTTATCCTTGTAAGCTGCCTGGAGTCACTGAGAGTGAGTTGGGCGGCAATATACATTTTCTTAAATAAATAAATTTTCCACTTGCACTCCAATCTGCTCAGCAGATGGCCAAAGAGAAGGGTTATCATCCTTGGCATAGGACTGAACAAATTGGAGAATAGCAGGAAAGATGGAAACACGTCAGTACAAGAAAAAAGTTCAAGGTAAGGTGGCTACAGGCTGAGACAGGTCCCTCTTCCTGCCTTTCTAGCAAGCCTAGATGGACTCACATTGCAAGAAGCCCTCACTTAAAGGGGGCTTTAAGTGAGGACAAATCAGAGGACAAGGAAAGCACAGAATTGGTACATCAATTTATCATATGATGTAATTTTCATGGGGCAGCAAATCAGCCTTGTCCAACCCAGCATCCATAAAATGTTTAAGGATGATAATTCCTAGAATTCCGAGCCAGACATGGTCAAGGCTGTAATAAAAAATAAATCTGCAGGAAATCAAATCACTCAGAATAGTTCTGACAACACAGCAGAGAAAGAGCCCTGCCCCTGGGTGTTCAAATGCCTTCCCAATTTGGGAACTAGACAATAAATCTTTGATTTGCCAAGTATCCATTCTAGGAAAGGTTTTTTTTAGACCAGGAAACAGTTCATGGATGGTTGCTTCTCTGGGACAACTTGGAGCCAGGGGCAAGCCAGGACTTATGTGAAGAATGCACAAGCATTCCAAGCACACAAAGGGGGAGTCTCTCACTTTCTTGCTCTCTTCTAAGGAATTTGCTCCAAAGAGGGTGTTGTGAAATGCTCAGGCCTAGATATCAGCTGTCTTGTAAAGTGGGAGAGAGCAGCAAAGAGGAGTGGGAAGTTTACTGCAATTTGTTGACAATCCACAGGATTGTAAAAGGAACTTTGAAAAACCCTAACAGGAGATCTTAAGACCTCAATCAGAGGGATCTGCCTGATGAAACTGCCTTATAGTCAAGATCACTCGCATCAGGTTCAGCATAAATTGCTTGTTTCCACTGTACTAACTTTTCAAGTCTTTTAAGTAGCTCAGTCCCATTCTCTTTCAATATAATGAAAATACTGAAATATAAGCCCAGACCTTCTGCATACCACTGAGCTATATGTTTATCCCTCAGTGGGGTGCGAGTAGTGAGGGAGATCTAAGTTTCTATCTCATATTTGTATGTCCTCTGCATTCTTGCAGCTTTTACAACAAGATATAGGTAGAATACATGAGTTCTTCAGGTGGTAAAGTCCTGCCACACATACACAGTGAATCTAAATTTGTAAAGAATTCTGCAAAGCAAAATTAATTTCTTTCTCCTTTCTTCTTCCTCTGTTCTGAAAGAGTTGCTACTTCTTACTGCTTTCTAGAGATGGATTTTTTTTTAAGATTATGGATCTTGTATCAGAGGTTATTATAAATTCTTCTTTGTCCAACCTTTAATAGTAGAGGTGAGGCGTCATCTGAGTTGAGCTTAACTGGTGGAAATTTCATAGATATGTTCATGGAGGATTCTTGGCCATGAGCCTGAGGTGGGGTTATATGGCCTTTTTTTAGTATGATTTTTGATCTCCCAGTGTCCTAGTCTGTGGCCCTAATATTACTTGGTAATCTTCCATCAAATACTAATCTGGTACAAAAATAACTTAGTTTACAAATCCAGACAAAATCAGCCAAGAGCTTCAACTTACTAAGGCTAAAGTCTTGTTTGGGTCAAACGTGTCTCCTAGTGTCTTCCAGACAAATCTATGCAGCTTTCTTTTGTCGACAATGCAGAAATAGTTTGCCATTTCCTTTCCCAGGGATGATCTTTGACTTTCCAGTGCTAGATTATAATTTTCACTATTCCTGGGCAACTTGGGGAAGGCTACTCTAAACCGATAACACTGGTTATAAGATAGAATAAGATTTTATCACTCCTTTTGTCAAAATTGGTGATTAGAACAAACAAAAATAAACTAGTTTAACTCAATATAATATGCATGAGTCTATCTCAGAGCTGTTACAGGGACATACCTCATATTCAAGGGCAAGGTCAGTATGATCATCAATGTCCACTTTCGCCATCAGAATCTTCCCCTCATGTTTGGACACCACTTTTTCTAGTCTGGGACCCAGGATTTTGCAGGGACCACACCATCTCACAACAAAGAAAGACATTAGAGTTTAATGAGGAAAAAGCAATATTAACTTTTTTTACAAGATACTTCCCAAAGGTTAAAGATAAATATCTGCCTTTAAGAAGAAGCCTCTGAATACTGAAGTATCAGGTTTAATAGTGATGCCTGGATTGTTACATTAAGAGATGACATACGAGTCTGCATTTTGTTTGATAGTCTATGTGCCAAGATTTAAAAGCTGCTGCTTACAAACTGCTCAGAGTATTTTACTGCAAGGTATTCATAAGCCTCTTGCATATTGTTTATGCCAAGAGTAAATAAGAGCAGCAAAAAAATCACTATGTTTACCAAAACCAATTCAGAATCTCATAAGCCTTCTAACCAACAGAAATCCACATTTCTTTCCAAAAAGAGAGAAGAAAACTATATAAAAGAGGACACAGAGAGTTGTTATCCAAACTAATAAGGCAACCTGTAATCTTGAATTTACTATATATCAGTGTCTTTCTCCACACATGTACAAATCAATAAAAGAGTACCATCAATGATCATGTGCAAAGATCTTGCCTATTTGTGTATATATTGCAGTAACTTGTTCCCAATATTGTACAACAGGTAAAATAGACACTTGAACAAGGACAAGGTTCATATCTTCTATACTAATTTGTCTCTTTGAAAGAGAAATTTAAGCCATCACGGGCCTCAGTTATAGTAGTTCATACAGTTAAGTTTTCATACTGGAAAGTCTTTCACACATGCTGTTAGTAAAAAAAAATCAACAAGAAATGAAAATAGTATGATGCTATGATTATTGGCCAGGTGATTTTTGATCTGATTTATACATACTAGAACTTTTTTTTGCTGCAGCTATTTGATCTTACATCATTGATACATTGTGTGATAAATCAGTAATTGCCAAAACAAATTCTCAGTATCACAACAGCATTTACCATTTCTTATAGCTCTGGAAACTGATACCATATTACAGGAAGTAGCTTTAGCACATTGAGCCACTATTGATGTTTTCAGATGTTATAACCACAGCAGGGTATTATGAGAACAAGCATTCAGCAGTTAGTCTGTGTTAGGCATTTACATTCTTTTAAAGAATAAAAAAAGCAAGTCCTAAGAGAATCAGAAAATGGGATCATAAAAAAAAACACCACCAAATCAATATTCCATTATCTATCTACATCAATAAAAAAATCTGGAGCAACACAGAATTGCAAGAAAGTATGATATCATTTAAATAACTTCACAGAAATCTGTAGAGTGAATTTAGTGCTAGGAAATAATCCTAGCTATAATCTAACCCATTTCTATGTACTATTCAAACTGCCACTCCTCCAATAAATACATAGGATTGATAAGGAAAAAAGTGTTGAATAGAATTCACCATTAATTTGTGACAAATTAAGAGGAAGGTGTAGTCCAGCAGCCAAGTAGGTAAAGAAAAACAGTTTAAAAAGTTTACTTTTACTGCAAGGACTTTCAAACTGAAGTATTTCCTGATCTGATTCTTTACTTCTGATGTTTTCTGTGTCAGCTCTACAATGGAATTTAGAAATCAAGAGATCAGGAAACGTACTTCAAAATTAAAATGTACTTATTCCTGCTAGTGTTCTGAAAGTTCTTTGTTTGGCTTTTTTAAAATTTTCTTCTGTGGAAAAGGATAAAACTTTTGCCCATCATTCTCAACACAGTTCATATCCCATTCTACCACACTGCACTTACTTCATTTCACATCATCTCATCTTTTTTCGTATCCTCATTTGTTTTATATTTAGAAATAGGAAGGAGGTAACAGTCGGTAAATGTTTTAAGCTTCTAATAACCAGAGATGAGGATTATATTCCAGTAAAGAAAGGCACGAGATTGCATTATAAAAGCATTGTATGCTTTCCTCCATTAATTGGTAGACCCATATCCAAGCAATAGTGCCTTATTTTCATTGATTAGCTAATGCCCTGCAAACTTGCATCTGCCTATACTCTGATGAAAGTAAGTACCAATAAACTAAACATGCAGCCTCTTTCTCAAAAAATTGAAGAGCACCAATTGTTTTTTTTTTGCAGTATTTCATGAGAAAAAGAATTGTAATATGCTATTTATAATATTATCTCTACTCAAAGGTTCAGAACAGGGTCCCCACCCCATGGTCTATAGCCCACTACCAGGCCGCAGTCTGTTTCAAACTGGGCCACGCAATGGGCAAATGTGCATTCATGTGCACGCACAAAGCTCCATTTGCACAAGTCGTGGGCCCTTGCTCGCGAAGCTCTATTCATGTGAGTGGAGGGCGCTTGTGCATGAAGCTCCATTTGCACAAAGTGCCTCCGCTCGTGTGAGTGGAGCTTCGTGTGCAAGCACAAGGGCCTACCACTCAAAGCTCCACTCGCTTGAGCACTTGCGTTTGCATGTAAAGCTCCACTCACATACACAGAGGGCGCTCGCATGCAAAGTGCCTTTTGCATAAATGGAGTTTCCCACACGAGCACTCTCTGCTCACGAGTGGAGCTTCACATGCAAGCACAAGTGCCCTCCACTTGTGCAAATGGAGCTTTGCATGTGGGGATGCTTGCACTCGCGAGCGGAGGGCACTTGAGTGATGGGTGCTTGCACACATGCTCGAAGCTCCACCTGCGAATGGAGGGCACTTGCAAGCAAAGCTCCATTTGCATGAATGGAGCTTCACGTGTGAGCAGTTTTCCACTCGTGGAGCTTTGCGCATGAGCACAAATGCCCGCCACTCAACCACCCTCCATTCACACGCATATGCAAGCACCCTGCACTCACACAGAGATGTGTGTGCGCACGCACTTGCCACTCACATGATCTTTCCCCTCACGCCAGACTGACAAGATAAAAAGATTGGGGACTACTGGTTTAGAATGTTGTAAGAGAAGGAGGATGTAAATAGTAATCACCTAGTATAGCTTCTCAGTTATCCTATGGCATCTAGGTAAAACCAATTGAGAGAGAGAGGCAGACCCTATTAGCTATACCATTTGGGGTCAAAGCCCTCCATACTACATAGTATATAATACATATATAGCACACTAAGGATCCAGACAGCTTTGTAACAAAGACATATACACCATACTTACTGGGCATGGAAATCTATCACCACTGGTTTTTGACTTTTCAAAACTCTGTCTTGGAAATCATCCTCATCCTGGACATTAAAAGTATGCCAACAGACCTGAGTAGTAGAAAATGTCCTAGTCTGTGAAGGCATAGCAGGAGAAGCAAAAGAAGTACACCAGGGTCCCCTGCATGGCAGAACTGAAACTCTGTACAGAAGCAATGAGGGTCTGGGATGAAGCACTGGAGTGAGACGCTTGACTGGAATAGACAACAATGATCTGAAGAGATTTTGGGCCATCTAGGACAAGAACAAACAAAAGCATCATAAGGCGGAAACAACGACCCTAAAAACTCCCTACATTTTCACCTCCCTCTAGCCTACCCATTCTGTTGCTTCTTTGATCCCTTCTCAACTGATTCCAAAAGTTCCCATACACCTCCCCCAACTATTGCCAATTTCCCAAAGCAGTTTCCTTTGATATACATCTTTGCTGTGTTCAATTTGAGCTATCTCATAATTACCAACAGTACTTGGACTACCTTAGTTGCATTCTCTTGCAATTCAGTGTACTTTATATATGCCATGTGCTGCTTAAAATATGCTGGTATTTTTATTTTACTGTATATATTGTGGGTACACCTACACACTGGGCAAAGAAACAACTATTAAGTCCTTGCTTCTAGCTTATTATCTCACATTTCTCTATTTGGAATACATATTACGCGCTGCCTAGTTTTATTATGAAATGGCAAAAGCCCATACTAAAATATTGGTTAATGGAAAAAAAAAAGAAGTGACTTTAATTTTCTGAATTATGAACCAGCCTTTAAAGCACTATAGAAGTTTCTCAAGAACTCCAGATTCTCTGAGCTGCAACACTTTGGCTTATTTCCTAAGCCTATCAACTCAAATACTCTTGGTTTCTCCATCCAATGGTCTAAGCTAGGAGTGAATCCTTTATTTTAATTTGCCGATCCTTTTATCTGAAAGCAAGGCCTTCTGTCCTGAGACATCATGGTTCCAGTATATTATTGAAATATGCTTACTGACATAATACAAATAGCCTTTTTAAATAGCACATCATTATTACTATATCAGTTGAGTATCTCAGTGTGGCTAAATTATTTACAATTTATAAATAATGGACAAGGTATAATAGTTAAGTGATACTAAACAACTTACCAATGCCATTCAAATAGATTCATTTCCAATATATTCTGTCTGGTGGACAACCATAACACAATTGTTTTGCTACTACTATGTCTATAAAATATTGATAGAGACTTGAAAGAGATATCACTATGATATGGCTATGATATTAATATTGCAGCACCTTTACACTTATATTATCTAGACCCCGCAACAATTTTGTTAACAGTATCATTCCACAACAGCAAACTACTTTCATGCAAATTAGAAATATAAAGAAAGAAGGTAGTATTGCAAATAGAGTACTCTTTAAGCATAGTGAATTTGATTGTTTAGGGGTTTGGGAAAGAAGATGGAGTATCTGCTCTGAAATACATTTCCCCCAAAATTTCACATTTTAATAATCATTTTACATTCAAAATCAACATCTTTGAAATTTACTAAAGTTTGTTAACAAAATCAAGAGCCCATTAATTGTCAAATTTGTTTTATTCAAGCAAATTCAAAAATATTTTTTACAGAATACTTCTTTATTGTTTTAGGCCCTATATATATGAAATGCAACTTACTTTCTGGTCTTAATTTAAATCTATGCTAACTCCTTGACCTGGAGGTTTTGGCATTAACTAAAGCAAGTTTGTAGCTAATGTAAACAGCTTTTGTGAAATAGAGGGAAAGTTATGAATCAAGTCGCAGTTACTAATTTTCCCAATATTATGCATTTAATAACGGGTCAGAAATTCTGTCGAAAAATACTCTGGCAATGCTACCTGGTTCTTTCAACTCCGCTTACTTTTAACCTGAGTTTCTGAAACATCCTGAACAGAAACTTCTTATCAAAAAATCTTATTTCCTGATCTGAAGGGTTTTTTTCTCCTCCTCATAAGCCTAAGCCACGTAGTTGCAGTGATGCAGCATTGGCATTCTGCACATGTTCGAAGGTCTCCCTCTCTTTAGTCAGTATTATGACAGCTCCTCGAGGAGAAAGCAGCTCTGTTGAACATTAAACCCAGCCTGCCTGCGTCTCAATTTCCCCCTGGTATCCCATTTGTTCAGCCAACTATTTTCCACTTGCAGACGCCCTCAATATTCTACATTCTCCTCATCATGCCACTTTCCCCTCTACTGCGAAGAGTGACTCTTAAGGGCTCCCTTATCTCCGATTTGATAATAATAATGGTAATAAAGGCCGTGGAGGGAACCACTTCCCCTTCTCACCTTCACAGTCCCCGGAGAGTCCCTCACGACCACACTGGAGAGTCAAAAAACTGAACTACCGTATTTTCCTGTAGCTGATTGGACGAATAGACGCAACTTTAGGATGCAACCATAACTATTCTCGTGGTGATTGGCTGTTGAAAACACGCTCTTGACAACTTTGGTAGTTGATTGGGTAAGGCGGACAGCAATAAGCATATCCTACGTGCTAATTGGTTAGAAAGCCAAGAAACTGTTCAGCCTGGTGCCAATTGGCTCTTGGGGAAATCTGACCTTACCACCTCTTCTTACTGCACCAATGGCAAACATGTGTTCCGCTCTGTGTTTGCTCAACTTCGCTGCGGGCAGGGTCGAAGTACACAGGCCGTTTCTGGGGAGGTAGGTGGATGCCTAACGGGCTGAAATGTAAAGTAAAAAGCCTTTGATCTTTATGTTTTGTAAAGTGCCTGTGTTTGTGCTTGGCTTAGTTAATCGGTTTCTGAAATTAATTACATTGAGTAACTGTAACATACTACTTTGCAATCCTATTAACCTGACTTTTTAAATATAAATCTAAACTCAGCCTCTCTGGTTTCTAAGTCATCTTAACCAATACATCAAACTGACAACAATCTGCGCCAAATTTAATTAAGTGATAGCATGACACTTAATAAATTATTGACCCTTCAGAAAGATAACGGCTCCATTGTTGAAGTTTTTTTTTACTCTCCCTTCAGTTGGGGTATTTTATTTTAGGACATTCATTATAGTTTTTATACTTGCATTTGATACGAATAGCTTTGCAATCATATCTCTGGCTGGTCTTGCTCTGCTGGAGAAGAGGCCCCGCTATACGAAGAACGGGAAGATGAGGAGGGATCATGGTACACAGGAGGCCCTGACTGGGAAAATAAGATGGAGGTATGGATGCCATTGTCTCCGTGCTGGGCAAGCGGTAGGACCTTGCAGCAAGTGCCTGGTCAACTGCCCAAAAGATCAGAACTTCCAGGTAATCATCAGGGGGGATGCCTGCGAGGTCAATCCCCCTGAGCCCAGCAGCCATAGGGGTAAAAAGTGGCCTCTGGTCCCAGATGTGCGGTGGTGATGTCATGACCCACCCCGGGGGAGGGGTGTGTGAAATGGGATGGTCCTGCAGGGACTATACCCCCTGAGCAGAGGTCGAAGGCCCCAGCAGAAGGTCAAAGTCTGGGGCCCCTGCCTGTTCCGCTTCTGCCCTGCCCTGCCTCTGCGCTCTGGAGAACTCCTTTTCCAGGGCCTGGTGCCTTCTGCTTGCCTGTTTCTCGGCCAATTTTGAGGGCTTCCTGGATATGGCCTTTGCCTTGGTCTTGATCCTGCCTGCCGCCTCCTGTTTGGAGGATTTGTGCCTTTCCTGGCCAGAGGATGGGGAGGTGTTGGTCATATGTTCAGGCAACGTGAAGTCCTCCATCCTGAAGGGAGCTATCTCAGGAAGTACTGAGAGGGAGCTCTGGCAGGGGATCAATTGGCGGGTTGGCTAAAGCAGCTGGAGCAGGGAAGGTGTGCTGCTCCCCTGGCTACCTGACCGGTAACTCAGTGCGTCCTTGATCACTTGGAGGCGAGGAGGGAGAGGTCAGTATGCTTGCCAGTCGGGTCAATCTGCAGCAGAGGCCGTGACAGCCAACGAGCGCAGCCCACTGAAATGTTTTTTTGATGGCCAGGTCAAGGAAATTATTTGCATCAGAGAGGCCCGAGTTGTTTTGAGCGCAGAGTGACCCACTGCCGGCCTGAACTACAACCCAGGACACCTTCGTGTAAGCGTCTGCCACGTGTATAAAATGGCGGCCACCCGGCCTGCAAACAACAGCTAAAATGGCGGCCATGAGGTTAATGATGCCTATGCGAGTTTCGAGCGTTGAAGCAGTCAGGGAGGAAGGGGCCAGTAAGGCTAGGTTAGCGGCTGCGGCTGTGACAAAGGGGAAGTTTTTGATGTAAGAAAAGGCCGAAAGGCCCAACGTTCCCCTCAAGCAAGGATGACGGGCGCGGTCAAAATGGCATCCACCCAGGGCAAAACATGATCTTCAGGGATGGATCGCAATTGCGAGAAAGGGAACAAAGCCTATTTCTTCGCTGGCAACCGAAGAAATGGCCAGACGAGGAGCATCTGTCCCCCTCCAGGGATCCAGAAATTGTTCGGCCCGTTCGCGGCAGTCAAAATGGCCACGACGAACAAGGAGAGAAGCAATGAACTGGAGGCCAAGGGCCTCGTGTATCTCTCTAGGGAAGCCGAGGAAAGATTAGGGCCGGAGTGCTGAGCCCAGCACTGAAGCCACTTAGGAAGAGGGAATTGAAGACGAAAGGCTGAAGCCTCAGAGATCCGAGCTACAGCGCTGATCCCAGCACTGAAGCATTGAAGGGAGAATAACAAACGACAGCTAAAGAGTGGAAAAGATGAAGGCCAATGGTCCCCAGAGCCCTGGGGCTATGAGAAGGGGAAAGGAAAAAGGGCATTGTCTTACCTGAACACCTTTTCTAAGCAGGATGGTGTAGAATCTACTGATTGGGTAATTTAAGCCTTCCTGCTCAGACTAAGACAAAAAACTTTGCCACGCCTTCTTCTGGGTGTGACTTTCCCCAGTTTTGTCGAGGCGAAGCATTCAGACGCAAGGCTCCAAACAAAAATAAAAGACACATGCCTAGACTAAGGACAACAGGGTGGGTGTGGATTCTACACAATCCTGCTGAGAAAAGCGTTCAGGTAAGACAACGCCCTTTTCTCCAGCAGGATGGGTGTAGAATCGACTGATTGGGACATACCAAAGCCACTCATGTCCCTGTAGGGAGGGAAGTCTAGGCTTGTGTCCCCTGAGAACTAACTACTTGCTGTAGGACTTGCCTACCAAAGGCAGCCTCCGCTGCTGCAAATTGATCTATCCTATAATGTTTTATGAAGGAAGAGGGAGAGGACCACTTCACTGCCCTACAAATCTCCTCAAGTGTTGCCTGGGTAGACCAGGCTGCTGAGGCTGCAGCACTGCGCGTGGAGTGAGCAGTGATGTGTGAGGGGACTGGAAGGGATTGAGAGAGGTAAGCCCTGGAAATACAAGCCCTAATCCATCAACCAATAGTGGAAGAAGAGACTTTCCTACCCATTGCAGAGGGCTGAAAAGACACGAATAAGGCCTCTGACTTCCTGAAGACCAAGGTTCGTTTAATGTAATGGTGCAGGGCCCTGCACACGTCCAACGTATGCCAGACGATGGGAAGGGTTAGGACAGAAGTTAGGGAGGATTAGGTCCTAGGAACGATGGAAACCTGTATTGACCTTTGGGATAAATGCAGGATCCAACCTAAGGACCACTCTGTCCTCATGGAATGTGCATAAGTCCTCCCTGACTGACAAAGCGGCTAATTCTGAAATCCTCCTGGCCGACGTAATGGCCACTAGGAAGGCCACCTTCAAGGTCAGGAAGTGAAAGGAGCAAGTACTCAGAGGCTCAAATGGAAGAGAAGTTAAGGCCTGTAACACCTTGGACAGGTCCCAGGATAGATAACGATGAACAGTAGGCGGCCCGGCGTTGGCCGCGCCCTTGAGAAAGGCACTAACTGCTGGGTGTTGAGACAGGGAGACTTGGTTGTCACAGGCGAGAACTGTCGACAAAGCTGCTATCTGCCTGCGTATAGTGCTGGTTGACAGACCTCTATTCAACCCCTCAGGTAAATAATCTAATATGTCTGGGATGGTGACAGTAAGCGGCGAGAGCCGCTTCTTGTTACACCAAGAACAGAAGTTTCTCCAAGTGGCATCGTAGATCCTATTGGTCAAGGGACGCCTTGAAGCTTGGATCACAGAGATAACCCCGGAGGAGGACTGTCTAGTTAAACTTTCCCGCTTAAGTGCCAAGCGGCTAATTGGAGCCACTGTGGATCCGGATGTTGGAGGTTCCCCTGGCTGAGAGCTACTTGGTCCGGGGGGATCCTCCACGGTGGCGAGAGGGACAGATCCACTAGGTTGGCAAACCACGGGCGTCATGGCCAATATGGAGCAATTAAGATTAGCTCCGCCTGTTCGTGAAGAAGCTTGCGAATAGTCGCCTGCAGTAATGGCAGAGGAGGGAAGGCATAAAGTACGCCCTCCGGCCATCTGCTCCTGAGGGCGTCCGTTCCCTCCGCCTCCCTTGTCGTGAATCTGGAGAAGAACCTGGGGACTGGGGGGTTGCTCGGTGAGGCGAAGAGATCTAGGATGAGAAATCCGAACCTGTGCGATATTTCCCCGAACAGGGTTGAGTCCAGTTTCCACTCTGAGTGATCCACTGTGGCCCTACTCAAGGAGTTTGCCTGTTGATTTGCCTCTCCCAAGATGTGTTCCGCTCTGATGGACCTCAGAGTGGACTCTGCCCAAAGCCCTATGGCCAGGGCTTCCTGCATGAGTGGACAAGAGTGAGACCCCCTTGTTTGTTTACGTGAGCCTTGGCCGCGATGTTGTCTGTCGGGATCAACACGTTTCCCTGACACAAGGGGGGAGAACCTTTGGAGAGCCAAGTGGATAGCCCTGAGTTCCAACTAATTTATGTTGTGAGCCAGGTCTGACCTGGACCACTGACCCTGGGCTAAGTGGCTCTGAAGATGTGCTCCCCAACCAAACAGACTGGCGTCTGTGGTCAGGGTGATCCTGGGTGGTTCCTTGAAGAGGGTGCCCTTGTTCAAGGCGGACGAGGTCCACCATAGGAGTGAAGACAGGTTTGCTGGGGAACCCTGACTTTCCTGTTGGAGGCGCTGATGTTGCATCTCTGAAAAGGAAGGAGGAACCATTTGAGGTTCCTGGAGTGAAGCCTGGCTCACGGAACGATGCCCATGCAAGAGACCATCTTGCCCAGGAGTTGGGATAGTTGTACCAGTGGTACCCTCTTTTCCCTTCGGATCTGCTGGGCCAGCTTCCGAATGCTGACTTGGCGCTCCTGGGAGAGATATACCTTGCATAGGCTGGAATCTATCAGTGCTCCCTCGGGGCAGAGGATAGGCCGAAGGGGAGGGCTCGGTACTGGTAGTGTCTGTGCGCGTAACAGAA